CTATGAATGTTCCTGAAATGCAATCCAGTGCAAAACATGCTACGAAACATGTGGCAGACAGAAAAGTAGTTTACTGTGTCAAATAAAGCAGGTGTTCGAACATCCAGCATCAGCCTCATCCACCTTGATTTTCCCTCTGTTTATCAGCAAAGGTTTTCATTATTACCCCCCACTGCTTTAGCCTCCAAAGCCTGTGTGAGAGTGAGTGAAAGCCCAGGCGGCACACTGTGGGGAGGCGGGGTTCTCCGCAGAGCCTTTGATTTCAACCAGACAAACAGATTTAGCTGATTGTAGGATTGTGGCGGTCACTCACAACAAGCCGTTTATCCTTTACAGAGTGGCCCCAGCAGCCTGTCCTCTGCCCATCACAAACACAACACTCACCCACTGAGACCACAACACAGTGCGAGGCAGATCCCAGGATAACTGGGTCAGAGGGTGGTGAAGTGGAGTAAGAAGAGGCCATCTCAGAACGATATCTTCAAATAATTTAAAAATCCTCCACTAAATAACAGCAGGCCACCACAGATCGAGGGGGAGCAAGTAAGAGTGTGTGGCTGTGTTTGGTCAACAGGGGTATTGGCTTTACTCGACAGAAAGGGTGAAAAAAACCAGAGGACTGTACAGGAGTTAAGCATAAGCTTTAAAACTTGGAGCTGTCAGCTGCAAGTGTGCTTAATGAATGGCTTAAAATATCTGAATAGCAATAAAGGTGAATAATTTGTCATGTCACATTACTTTTGACTGAGAATAATGTCGGCCTAATTGTCCTTTAAAAATTATGCACATTTTAATCAGATGCTCTTTTGGTGCAGGAGCCAAGCAAAGCAAAGCACCTCCACAGACATCATTTTTTTAACAAAAATCATTGAGATGATCCTTGAGATGGAAAACAAATAATCACAATATCACAAAGACGGTGCTACGTTTGTAGCCGTGCTGCTACTGATAGTCCAATTTTCTGACCCTGCTGCCAACAACTATTGTTTTCCTCACTGCTACTATTGTTACATCTTTTGAAACTATAGCTATGAGTGCAGAATCTAATTCAATTACTCACATTGCTACAACTGCGCTAAAGATTTTTTGGGAAAAAAATCGTTTCAGAAAACACCTAAAGCCCTAAATTGTGACTGTAAGTGATCAAAAGCCAATCAATAGAGAAGTCATTGCTGAAGCACAACATTCTCTGATAGAAGTACAACCTCTTCTGCTGCTGTTACTCACCATTATGTCTTCTTTGACCACGACTGTAATCTTCCCTGCTACTACTACTACACGTATTATGTTGTGCTGCTATTTATTCGATAACAGTAAGATTTATTTGAGAGTTGCTGTTGCAGTAAATCACTGCCACCCAAACCGTAAAATCTTTAAAAATGACATGAAAGCCTTGCATTAGCCGCCAGACAAACTATCAGTTGAATCGGGCCACTCATGAATAAGGAACATCATCTGAACGCAATGATTTTGAACCTAACACTATTTTCTTATGGCAGCAGACAGAATGTTTTGCCTTCTCTGGAGACAAATGGCAACTGAAGACCTTAAACCATGCTCAGCATGTGCAATTATCTCTATTCAGGCAGAACATATGTAGCTGCAGGTTTCAAGCATTACACTGTGTGCTACCTGTCAACCACAACTGCTAGATTTGAATCAATAGCTGTGACCAAAAAATAAATGCTATAGATAAATGAAAACGTAACCCTGTGAAATAGGTTTGTCAAAACTACCCTACTCTCTTCCTATTGATTTTTTCCAATTGCATCTCCCGTTTTGCCAGAATAATGTGAATATTTATTTAAGAGATTAGCAAGACAAGACCTCAAGACCTGTAGATCATGTTTTATATATCTATTATCTCTTGTTTTAGAGTTATTTTTGGCCCGAAAAATGTATCTGACTTTGTGTCATTTACAGTTGTATCATGCTGAGAAGATATGAAGAAACTATTTTGTGGTGTTGTTTTCTTTTAATTCAAAGCATTACGCCCTCTCACCTGGGATTACAATGTGATGATTAGTTGCTTTATTAGGTTGGAGGTTTTGTCAGGTTTTGCATTTGTTTTCCTGTCTTTGAATATTGCCTGTCACGCAGCATTTCTCAAACACCGCAAGTTTACTTTGACCAAATAGAGATTAAGAAGCACGTCTGTGTTGGAGGTCATGCAAAGTGACCTCTCCTTACCTTTGATCCTCTCATTTAACAATAATACACACGACTGATTTTGTTTGGAAAGAAGATCCCACCTTAAATTCTGACACAATAAAAAAGGTAATTACTCTATTGTTTAAAGTACTACTGGATTTGTTTATGTGTTTACTGCTAAAGGTGATTATCAATCATTAGCTGGTGAATACAAAAATGTTTTAACAAAAATGTAAAAATGATCTTGCTAACATTTTCAAAAAGCAACATCAGTGCCTATAAATGTCGAACGCTGTCTTAAAAAAAACCCACTTTATTCTGAAACAGTTGTGTTTTCAATGGGATCAGCGCTGTGCTGACTTTTCTCCCAGCTTATTAATGTCCATTTCAAAGTCAGGCAGTTCACATTTGAGCTTCAAAACACAACCACTGAGCTGGGATGTTGGAAATTTGAGATTTAGAGGCTCAATGATGAAATCCAACAAAACACACAATCTTATTTTGCCAAAAAACACAGTATTTAGAGCAGTCAGTAGACAAGCATAAATATATGTAAATGCAGTAGTGGCACGTCCTAATTTATAAACAGAGTGGTTTCTCATTGACATGATGTATTTATGCCGCGTTCATGTTGTTGACAGCATAACCGCAGGCTTTCCTAACTGTTTAGTGTCAGGTGATGAGGTCAAAAAAAGTCAACCATCCACATGACAGTCGGTCTTCAATAAAAAACACACCCAACAGGATTCAAGATTGCATTTACAACAGACTTCTCTGTGATATAACAATAAAGAATCACACTTTAATATGTAATCAGACAATGTAACAACATGGTGATTAAGATAAGATTGTGATAAAGTTAGATCAAGGTTTCTCAGGGTCTTGCAAGCTTAGCAAAATGTGTTAGTAAGGGTCATATTCTTTTCATGTATAAATGTCTCCTGAGAGCACAAGTTAGTGAGGTAAATTTGTCTCTAGTATTTGGTCAGATAAATCTGTACAAACTTGCGGTGTTAATATTGCTTTCTCGATTGGAAAGCACTTCATTCAATGTCTGCTTCTAATGTATTGTATAAATATCGGTGACTTCATTTTTAACGAGACTCCTGCATACTGTCTAACTTGTAAAATTATACTTATTAGCAACATTTTCTTGCACCAAAACATCACTAATAAGTTTATTTTTTAAAGGTTAGACAGTGTGCAAAAGTCAGCTTAAAGCTTTTGGAAACGCTTTTCTCTCTCCTACGCACCTGCCTCATGAAATACAGTACGAACAGTTCCTCTGACTTGACTTGACAAACAGCCACCGCCTAATACTATGACTCCAATGTTGATACTGAGCCATTCACTCAAATACATCAGTGTGATATTTCATTTTGTCAATATTGCCCGTAGCTCCACAGACATCCCAGAGGCAACTCAAGGAGGTCACATCCTGACCTCCTTCGTATCAGCTCGAAGCCACAATGACCCAGACATTTCTGATTTTCCCATGTTTTTTTTTAAAATAACATCAGTCCACCTGAATGCGCATACGTGTGCTCAATCAGGCTGCTAAACCTTATCTGCTCACTCGGTCAGCTGTCGTCTGTGTGACTCTATCAGATAACCTGAATGAGTAAATGGAAATCAAGCTCCCTTGCTGACATCTCTCCAAAAGCCATGTATTCAAAATACCACCAAATGCATTGCTAATATATCTCTCTAGATTTGGTTTAATATTTTAGTGAGGATATTTTAGCATCAGTGAGGATCAACTAGGATCATAACAGCCCAGACGAAGCAGCAGACTAGCTGGATACCATCACCTGCCATCTGAAACCACCTCTGAGACTTCACCTCTGTGCTTTCCACTTGTTTCCCCACACACACTGTGCAGTCATGACATAACAAAATAATACCAGGCAGGCTACCTGTTGGTGTTTTCCCACCCCTACAAGGCTACAAGGCTGACGCCTGGCATCAGAGTACACAGGAGCTATAGAATAACGAGGATCTGCAGGAGCACTGTGACACTATCCCTGTAAATAAATCTAAATTATGCATCCTGTTAATATTATATAAGAACATGAAGGCGCAGGTTCGGAATTATGGGGTACATGGAGAATGTAGGTCATACAAACATCTGTGAAAGCCTAAAAAAGGGGGATTTTTTTTTGTACCCCGCAAGCCCACCGTGAGGAGGGTCATGGATCATTTATGTGATAACTGACCGGAGCTGGTTCTGCACCAGCCCTGTATTGTTCTGACAGAGGAAACTTGAAAGACAGGTAGATAAGCCCGGAGGGGGGCGGTGGTTACTGCAAGCATTTCTTCCTATCCTCCAGGAACTGACTGCTTCTGAAAACCCGTGCAGAGACGAAACGTCACGCCGAACTCCGTTTAAAAATCTGCCAAGCGGACGTGTCAAATCCTCAGGTGTGACAGGTGTGCACTGATCCGCAAACAAGGTGTAATCTCCTCAGCTAAATACTACTAGGATATCCTCCGCATTCCGGCTACAAGTAGTCGGCTGTAGTCGGCTTTGATCAAGTCAAATCACAAGTTGTTCACTCGGTGTGTGCACCTACTGCAACAGCTCTCCGCGGACAACACTTTGAGGATAACTGGAGAACATTTAGTTAAAGTTTAAATTTGGTTCACTTCACTGCTCTGTGGCGTGTGTAATGTGCGCCGATTTGTAAAGAGGATGTGAACGATTCGTTTTAGGTGTTGAGTCATCTTCTAACAAAACTATCAAGAGCTCAAAGCGGAGACAAATAGAAACTGTCAGATTTAACGCGGAGTTTGGTTCGAGGTTTCCCCCCCTCACAAGCCAACAGCGCGTGAGCTCAACAGATCCTTACCTCTTTGATTTTGGTCCGTCTCTCTCTGGTTTCTGGGTCCAGCGGTTCGTGTCCCGTCGCCCCGCGCGGCCGGTGATACTCAACGAAAGGCAAATTATTGACATCCTTCACACCTTGACCCATACTCTCCTTCGCAACTTTCTCCTTCTCACTTAAAATGTCTTGTTTTATCTCGTCGGGCCGTTTCTGTAGAGTATCCTTAGCCTCTAAAAGAGCTTTCTCGTGGTCTTTTCTGATTTTGGCCAGGACCCTGTCGTCGTTTCCAGCCGAACCTAAGTCGCTGCTGTCCGGACCGGTGCGGGTGTTGGTCTCGACCGCGGAGGAATGAAAGAAAACTCCGCTGAGCAGCTTGGACGAGTCCGGTAGGAAGAAAATGGCCCCGAAACACAGGGTTATAAAGGCGCTGAAAACTAGTAACAAAATAAATTTCTCTGTCAACCTGAAAGAAGTCGGGCTGGCAGACTTCCTATTCGGGGTCGCGGTAAAAGGCAGAAGAGTTGCAACTGGCATTTTCCCTCTTCCTTCAACAACTCGAACAACAAACAAAACAAAAAAATGATTTCAAACACTCGCTTTAAGTCGCGGCGGGTTCAGCTTCGTCTTATTCCGTTCAGAAATCCATTTCCAAATGGTACGAACCGTGTCGAAGGTAGAAGAACAGCGGTAAAATCTCCGGTAAAAAGTTGAGGAGTGAGGCTGCTGTCCATACCGGAGACTCTCTGCAGACAGACCGAGTCTAACGGCTCACACAGGAAGCAACGGTGATGGGCGTGACTGACAGCCCCGATGAGCGAATCACAGCCCGGCCTGTGAGTGGGGGCGCTCCGGTGGGGCGGGGCTTCCCGACGGCGGGGTATAAAAGCGCTGACAGCCGCGCCTGACACTTCATTTCCCACCAACCTCACAGGGAGCAGGATGGGAAGTTCTGTATATACAGGACTAAAGCTTCCTTTTTTTTCCCAGCCAATTCAGAAAATAAACGCTGCAATTACTTCCTTTTATTACCAAGTGTGTCCCAAAAGCCATTAAATCAGAATCAGATTGAATACCCTATGAATAAATCACCCACCTACCTCATGCAAATGAAGTGACAATCAATCTGTTTTTATTGTTGATAACTGTGTTTATTCCTATTCTCAAAAACTGAATAATTTGCACAAAACTTAAACATAGCCTTTTACTCATACATAGCAGTAAAATGCTTGTTCTCCTTTCTTCAGCCTGTTGCCCTGTTCATGTTTTATTTGTGTTTGTTAGGCTTTTTGTCTTAGTACTTTTAGCAAAGGAAAAAGTGGAGTCAAATTTCCTGTATGTGCACACATACTGGCCCAATACAGCTGCTTCTGATTCTCACTCACATTGGTGAGCAGCACCTTTACACCGGGTGAAATGTTTTTTTTATTACCATAATAATGGCAACAGCAATTTAAAGTCAGTAACTGCATTTCAGTTACTAATTCACGTATTGCCCCATTATTTTGACATTCCTTTGGCTTGCTATCTGCTGCGATTTCATTTTATTTATTTGACAGGAACAGTGCACATTAATCAATGGAAAGATGCACTGGAATGAGCCAGAGTTAGTACCAAGAGGCTAATGTCCGTCTGTTGTCCCTGAGCAGTTATTCCAAAGGCAACTTGGAATTAGTTGACATATAACAATTGGAACATAGAGCTAATGTATACAGACTAATACCTGTGCCAGTACAAAGTACACCAACCAGTGAAGTTATACCACAACGATGATTAATTAACAATACTGCAAACAAAAGCAAGACAAATAGTACACTAACTCCAGCATGCTTTTATTTATTCAAACATTAAAATGGATACATGTGTGTTGAACAAAGTGAGGACTGTAACCACCGACTACATTCCTGGCTGGCTTAGCTTCTGGCCTTGTCACATGTCTTTGTGCCTTGCCATCAGGTTTTTCAGAAAGGCTTTAAGAGGGGGTGGAGGGGAGCGGTTTATTAATTGACACGCAGGTGATGTGGAAAAATCTCCTGCAGAGCTGTTGTTGCTTTTTACATTATTTATCATCTACACTTTATATCTCATGTTTTGCATGTCCAACGAATTGCTTACTCGCACTTACAAAGAAAAATGCCACACTTGCTTATGCAGAGGTGCAGCTAGAAATGCTCCTCACAATACACCACTGACTACTATTGAAAACCTCATCTATTACAATTGTACAGGGTGCTTATTATTATTCATAGGCCTAACAAATGGATAAAACCCCTCCGTCCAACAATATATAAGTACATGCATGCATGCATGAATGCACATAAACACCTACTGATGAGATCTATGATCTTTGTTAGTCTGTGTGCGAATGTGGGAGATAAATGGCAATCATTTCTATTGTCTCTGTTGCTAACTAATAATGGTTTGATGAACCAGTCAGCATTACACATAAAACATGTAATTTAACTGAAATAGAAATTGGAATAAATCCCAGCTATGTATGAGTTTTATTGGAGAGAGAGAAGAGAAAAAAAAATCTATCTGGGACTTCTGTGTTATTATAAAAACTGATGAGGGTGTGCTCCTGTTTTCAAACTGAATAATTCATCTTCTTTGTGTGATTTGAATGGAAAAATGTTTGCTGGCTGTCGGACATTTTCTTTAGCATGAACATTTCTATATTGTACATATCTGACAAAAATATGTCATACAAATCACTGGACCAAGAGAAAGAAGCATTGTTGGGACTGAAAGCGTTGTCAGTTATATTATGTACTTCACCTGTGGAGAGATGGAAAGTCTAATCTGGCGATGACAGATGCGCTGCCACATATTGAAATTCTAATTCTGGGATGACAACATGTCTAAATGATGACACACGTCACGTATGATTACTTTCTTATTCCGTGTTTCAAGCAGAAAATTAAATCTTGGATGAAATGTATGGCATCTCAATATTGAACGAAGAATCTCTTGTGGAAACAGTTGTGACAACCAACACTCTTACCTGCGTCATTTCATCAGTGTTGGCTTTTTCAGTGGGATTTGTTTTCAACCTGAGTGGCTGGTGATAATGTATGAATCAAAGAAACACCATTTTCCCCGTGGTGTTGTGGTTTTCTAGGTGAGGAGGAACAAATGTCCTTTGTTGTGACGCTGGTTTAACTTGTAGAGAAGCAGTGGAGGGTAAACCCACTTTTAAGGCTCCTTCAAAGGAAAAATCCCCCTTGTATACTCTAAGACTATTAGATCTTAAACCCAGCGCTCCCTTGGAGTTACTTTAGAACTGAGGAGTACTTTAGTTTTGTTGATATCATTTTCCTGTAGCCTCGTGGGAAAAGCTGTCCACGTCAGTCTTTACGTACCAATTACAAATAGAATATGGGACATTTAAGTAGTGTGCAATATTGCTCATTTCTCATCATAAACTGTTGTGACAGTGTGCCAACTCTGGAGGCAAACACTAAATCTACTAAATGTCCCACGTAATAAAAATCTAAATATCAGTCATCTTAATATAAACACAACATACTTAGAGAAAGAGAGAAACCCGGTGTATACATAATGCATAGTTGATTTAAAATTCATAAGATAGTTTGGATGTGGCTGTTCAAAGGAGATAAACACACAAAGCCTTCAAGCTGCACCAACGAGATGTCATTACGTTGCAATGCATTCTGGTCTATCATAGCAACTGTTGGTGCAGACATCGCTCTCTCTGCCACTTCTGTTCTCCCTGTGTGATTTCTGAATGTTAGTGCTCCAGAGTGAGGCCCGTGCTCTGTGATTGTGAAGGACTGGTAATAAAATTCAAAGGTTGTTTTTTTTTTTTTTGCTTACAAATGTCATAGTCAGACAATAAAATGGATTTTCAAATTCTAAAATTGCTGTAATTGAAAGGTCTGTATAGAGCAGCGATAATAAAGTATTCACCTCCTTTAGATGTTTTCCTCTCCTGCTGCTTCAACATCGAGCCACGGTCAAAACAATTTCTTTTGACAAGAATTTAGCAAAACAAAACTGTTTCATGTCAAAGTGACAACAGATTTCTACAAAGTAATGTAAATTAATTAAAAATAGAAAACTTATTTTGAGAAGTATTTTAATCCACCACAGTTTTGTAGTAACTTTTCACAGGAGTATCCAGCGTTGTCCTACTTTAAAAAAAAAAAAAAAAAAAAGTGTATTAATTTAAGAAAACTGTGTGGCTTTGAGTGTCAACTGAACTCAAAAGTGCTTTTCTGTTCAATCATCTCAATGTGCACAAGAGCCCCTGTTTTCTTAAAGCGACAGTAACCTACATCAAAATAGAAACCTTCCATAGTTTTGCCTTTTACAGAATATTATTCTATTTATCAAATCAAATTATTTTTAATTGACTTCTAACAAATTACTATCAATTCTCTTATTCAGTGAAGTCACTTATTTGTACTAATTTCTATGAACTTTCAAACAAACCACAGACTGCACTTATTATTGAACTAAAACCTAAATAAACTTGTCTTGGCTCCCAAATAATCTAAAACAAGCTTTATCAGCTTTAATGTGTGTGTTTACATTCATGTAACTAACCAAGTTACAGGTTTCTCCAGTGAGCTGTTCTTGAGCATCATGTTACCCAGAAACATGCTTTTATAAAGTCAGTAGTATATATACTATATATAGATCAGAAAAACACTGAACTTGATTTCTCCTGGAGGATGCTGATGTTGTGACCGTACATGTATAGCTGAAACCAAAAGTTTACATACATTGTATAAAAAGACACTTTTTTTCATCTCTTTCTCACTGTCTGACATTAAATCAGACTAAACTTTTCCTGTTTTAGGTCAGCTAGGATTACAAAATTATTTATATTTGACAAATACCATAATAATTAGAGAGATTTTTTTTTAATTACTTTCTTCACCGTCAGAAGTTTTCATATATTTCCTTAGTATTTGGTAGCATTGCCTTTAAACTGTATGACTTGGGTCAAATGTTTTGGGTCTCCTTCCACAAGCTTCTCACAACAGTTTGCTGGAACTTTCACCCGTTCCTCCTGACAGAACTGATGGAACTAAGTCAGGTTTATTGGCTTCCTTGCTTGCACACAGATTTTCTACAGGACTAAGATCAGGGCTTTGTGATGGCCACTCCAAACACTGACTTTGTTGTCCATAAGCCTCTTTGTAACTAATTTAGCAGTATGCTTAGAGTCATTGTCCATTTGAAGACCCATTTGTGCCCAAGCTTTAACTTCCTGGCTGATGTCTTGAGATGTTGCTTCAATATTTCCACATGATGTTCTTTCCTCATGATGTCATCTTTTTTGTGAAGTGCACCAGTCCCTCCTGCAGCAGAACACCCCCACAACATGATGCTGCCACCTCCATACTTCACAGTTGGGATGGTGTTCTCAGGCTTCCAAGCTTCTCCCTTTTCCTCCAAATATAACAATGGTTATTAAGGCCAACCAGTTTAATATTAGTTTCATCGGAGCACAGGACATGTCTCCAGAAATGAAGGTCTTTATCTCTGTGCATTTGCAAACTGTAATCTGGCTTTTTTATGTTTCTTTTGGCGTAATGTCTTCTTCCTCTCTGAGTAGCCTTTCAGCCCATGTCGGTACAGGACTGGTTTCAGTGTGGATAATAGCTCTCTTACCAGCTTCAGCAGCATCTTCACAAGGTCTTTTGCTTTGTTCTGGGG